CTGGGTAAGCACAGAACTGGGGATATTTGCTCCATCATCAGCATTCCAGCCTGCCCTCAACGCTTCCATGGTCAGGCCGCTGCGAGACCCCCTTCCTGCAGGGCAGCGAGGGGCCCCTGCCCTCTCCTATAAATAGGCACTGCTGCCAAAACATCCTGAGCCAGAGCAGAGCCATCCTTCCTCCACCCCTGTCTGCACAGCCCTGATTAGCAGGCAGGAAAGCAGCTTTCCCTTTTCCTGTGCCACTGCAATTACTCTGCAGCAGCAGCAGCGCTCCAGGACACCCCCGAGGATCGAAGGCACAGGCAAAGAAGGAAAGGCTCTGTGGGGTCAGCTAGGTGAGGAGAGGGGTGAAACAGCCTCTTGAGGGGTGAAACAGCCTCCTGAGGGATGACACAGCCTCCTGGGCCAGTGCAGCCTCACACCAGGCTCCTTCACTGCCCTCCAGGTCTTCAAACGTGGCATTTATGGATGCACAACTGGCACAGGGAGAGGCCCTGAAGGACCCTACAGTGCAGAGCGACAGGTTTATCCACAGGACTAAGCACTTCCAGACCAGAATTCGTGGAGCACGTGCAGCTCATGCCCACAGCAAGCCCACACACTGCACCTACGGCTCCCTCGCTTCCCAAGGGAATATTGAGAGGGGATTCCTCTCCTCTGGGAGCAGCCTGACAAAACATCTGCACAGAATCACAGAATATGCTGAGTTGCAAGGGACCCATCAGGATCACTGAGTCCAGCTCCTGGCCCTGCACAGACACCCCAAAATCCCACCCTGTGCCTGAGAGTGTCGTCCAGCTCCATCAGCCTTGGGGCCATCACCACTGCCCTGGGGAGCCTGTTCAGTGCCCAACCACCTTCTGGGGGAAGAACCTTTTCCTGAGATCCAGCATCCACAAGGACAAATCACTGCACAGAGCAGGCTGAGCTTTCCAGCTGGGTCCATTCCTGCTGTGCCCAAGCAGGGCAGCTCTGCCAGCCTGCCCCGTGTCCTTCCTGCCATGACTCACCTTGGTGAGGGTGCAACAAAAACTGCCTGTCCTGCAGCTTCCTCAGCCAGACAGGCACATTTCTGCTTCCTCATATCGGCCCAAGTCAGCCCAATGCTCCTGCCCTCTCCCACTGCCCATGTCTGTGCTTCCCAGACCAAGCTCCATCCCACCTGGCCTTGGACATCTGCAGAACAGGATCCACACTGAGCTTATTCCCTCTCCTTCACCAGGACCCTACCACATAATGTTACTTCCCCAGCCCGTGCAGCTCCACACACCAGCTGGGGAAGTAATTACTGGGAAGGTGAAGCAATAAGCTTCACTCACCTGAAAAGCCATAAGGTTTTGAGGGCAAAGCCAAGATCTTTCCAAGGCACATCACTGATCTCAGGACTGCCAGATAGAACCAGACACACGCAGCTCCTGGCTCATCTTAAACACAGACAGTAGAGCACAAGCTCAAAGCTTCTCCCCTGCTCAGTGCTCTGCCAGACACAGCCCTGAACTGCCTTTTCCAAAAGAACCATAATGAGGAGGAGAGGAATTCAGCTCTACACCTGCCCAGGCTTGCAAGGCAGTGGCTGGTATCAAGAACCAGGCATTTAATCTCTTGTGAGCCTGGGCAAGGGTAGAGACTGATCTTTGGAGAAGAAAGAGCACACTGGGGCAGTGGGATCCAAGAAAATCACCCCCAGACACAGCCCAGGACAGGCTAAAACAGCTCAGGGACACAGAACTGGCAGCCAGCACTCGTATCAGGCACTACACACATCACTGCCATCACAAACTAACCAGACTTGTGATGCTTCTCTCCTGAGCTCTCTTCCCAAACTCCTTCAGTGGCTCTCATGTCCTTCCCAGTATTTCCAGAGAAGCCAAATTCATCATCCTTACTGCATTAGGACTTTACAGCAGGTTGGTGTAGTCAAGAATAGTAAATTATTTCGCTGAAAGCAGCAGTTCGGGGGAAAATGATATAATTTCTAAACAAAGTGTCACCCGTTTCTCCCTAACTGCCTCTCTGATCCCAGCTGTGTGAAGACAGCTTCCAAACCTTCATCCAAAGAAGGAGAATGAGGCACGTTCACAGCACATGACAGGTAGCCCTGACTCTTTTTCCAGTTCTGAATGCCAGAGAGCACATCACACATTTTCCACGCGAGGTCTCGGGACAATTCCCCTTCCCGAAACCCCGTTCTCACGGAGAGAAAGCTGCCAGTGCTCCTCAAGAGTAAAATACTGCCTAGTGCTGAGGTCAAGCCCACCCACTGCAGGTGCTGCTGGAACCCCACAGCCCCCCTGACACAGCTCCTTACCTTGTCCTGCTCCACAAACGGCACAGGAACACACAAATCACCCACTCGGCAAGTCCGTGCGGCTCTGAAGCAATTTCCTTTTATGAGAGCTGTGCAGTCCCAAACCACCTGAGAGACCTCCTTGTCACCAAGCCTCCCGTGTCAGTAGCCAAATCAAAGACAGTTTCTGGTCTTCTGCAGTCTAGGGAAGCTGCCAGCTCATTCCTGGAGGGATGAGGGCACTTCCAGCACCGCGGGGACCCCTTCCAGAGCTCCCAGCTGCTCCCATTCTGCTCAGCTCCAGAACAAGCACAAAGCTCCTCTGGGCAACTCTGCCATGCTGATGCCTGACAGGCACGGGCAGTACCAAACCAGCAGATTTTATATCAAAATAAGTAACACTTCAGGAATGCAGCGTGCTTAGTCATTTCCATCTTGATACAAAGCAACTCTAACCACGAGGTATTAACTCGTTCCACGCTGCTGCATCTCACCCTGAGGAGCAGTTGTGCCTCATTAGACCCATGGCCCTGCAGAGCACAGCCCCTGGACACAGAAAGCGTGATGCTAATCCTAATTACAACATAAAAAGATGTTAAGTCTGACCCCTGCCATGGGGTCTAAGTCTTTTGTACTGATGGGAAAGATAAATCTGGATCTTTCAACTTTCAATCTTTTCCTAAAGCGATGAAATTCAACCACTTGAAAGGAAGTTTTTACCCATGCTAAAAGAAAAAAACAAACAAAACAAAACAAAACAGAACCCTTTAAACATGTAAGCCCTGAAGGCTTTTACACCAGAGGACACAGAACCCACACTGTACTATTTTTGCAGTCGTGGGGTTGGAACCTGACTCACAGTATCTGAATGCCCAGGGCAGCAATACTGACAACAGCAGTTGACTCAGCCCCTACACCACGGGCTGGCTCCCAGCCCAGGAATGCTGCAGCTGCACACAAGGACCGAGACCCAAGGTGGGCACAGAGTTAAAAATCAAACACGATTTATCCCGGAGCCATTCCTTAGTGCCACCAATCAGAGGTGAGATTCCAGCTTCCCCCAGGGCTGACATCACCGTAAAGCCACGACCACCTTTGTGGTCCACAAAGCCCCCTGTGGATTTATTTACGTGGGCCACCCCAGACAGGCTGCGTGGGGCCACCACAACCAACCATCCCTTTGGGAAAGTCTCAGCAGCACCAAGGCAGCTGCCCCAGGAGGTTCAGAGGGTGCAGACCAAGGTAACACCATAAAACCTCTCAGGCATCATCTAGATAACGCGTTCCAGGGCTGCAGGGAGTGAGTCACATCCAGACTGGAAGACTGAGATAAGAATTTTGCCAGGCAGCAACGGGCAGGACTAGGACTCAGCTCTCCAGGTCAGAGCAGAAACCACAACCAGCCAAACACACATTTCTAGGGGCTGCTTATCCTGCAACTGCTCTTCTACTTTTCTTCCATCGCTTGCTGATACAAGTCACGTCTGTGAAAGGATTGCTCCCACCACTGCCTGGGCTCTACCACACTCGTGTCAGCCCAGTGCCCTCTCAGACAGGCAGCTGGAACAGAGGGAACAGTGAACTGGGAGAGGCAAGGGGAGACTGGTCCAGCGTGCCAGCCCCACACCCTGTGCCCAAGGACTCTGCAGCCACTCAGGCCTGAGCACCTCGGTGCAACACAGCACAGATAGCCAGTGCCACCTCAAAAAATCACACAGCAGTACACCCTTTGCCCGAAATAAACTCAGTGCAGAATCACAGCGTGGCTGAGGTGGAAGAGACCCAGGCTGGAGCACCTACAGAAGGGTGTCTCCAGGACGGCTTTTGGATACCCCGAAGGACGGGAATACCCTGCAGGACCCCTGGGCAGCCTCACCCTCACAGTGAATATGTGTTTCCCGGGGTTCAGAGGTGTTTCCCGGGGTTCACGCTGAGCCCATCCCCGGACACCACCGGTAGGAGCCTGGATGGATGCCCCCGGCACCCTCCCTGCTCCCCTTCCCAGGCCGAGGGGGTGGCTCTCCCCCAGGTCAGCCGGTGGCCGGATCTGTCACCTGCTGCCGCCCGCCCGTTCGCCCGCTGCCCAGGGAGGAGATGCTGCACCGGTCGCTCGCCGCCTGCCCCGGGCCGGGACACGGGGACCCCTCTGGGCCGGCAGCCCCGAGCCCGGCAGTGACTGCGGGAAGCCCCGAACCCCCCAGGGCCCGCAGCCCCCGCCCGTTCCCTCCCGCGCCCCCCGCCCGTCTCACCGCGGCCTCGGCCCGCTCCGCCGCCGCTCCCGCACGGCGCGCCCGCCGCGCACGGAGCCGCCGCCCATTGGCTGGGGCACCCGTCACTCATGTGATAACCCCGCCCAGGGGTGCACGGAGACGTCGCCCATTGGCTAGCGTGGCCGTCACTCACAGCATGACCCCGCCCCATCTCACAGAGACCGCGCCCTCTCTCCCGGTCTCTCTCCCGCAGGACGCGCACGGGACTCCGCCCATTGGCTGGAGTAGCTGTCACTCAGCTGAGACCCCGCCCTCACCCCGCCTCCAGGCTTACTAGAGCCTTCGCTCATTGGCTGGTGCGGCCGTCACTCAGACGCTGGCCCCGCCCTCCCTCTCCCCTCAGGGCGCTCCGAGCCGCTTCTCAGACCGGGTTTTACTGCGCGGCCGCCCCGCCGCCCTCAGCGTCCCGCACAGCCCCGGTCCCGTCCTCCCACCCCCGCCTATTCGTTCTTCATCCCCTCGGCGATGAGGTTGAGCTCGTAGCACCAGGTCTCGTAGCGATAGGCCACGCGGATCTGGGCCACGTTCGTCTTCCGGATGTCGTTGCCATGAGGCCCGTCTTCCCGGTAGTTTTCGCCCAGGAATTTGACTTTCTCCTGCCCGGGGAAAAGACAGCGGTGCCGAGCTCAGAATTCCTTGTTCGGAAAGGCTGGGGGAGAACCCCTGAGCCCACGGACGGGGCTGGTCCCCGGGACCACCGTGGTCAGGGACACCCCAGCAGTGAGTCATTAGCCAATAGAAGCTAATTAATAATGTAACTATGTAACTTGTAACCCATGAACACCAATTCCTTCGTCTGCCAAAATGTATGAAACAGCTGGTGTGCTGGGTTTGTGGAATCTCACCCAGCAGCCAGGGTTGTGCAGCTCTGAAACAAATAACGAGTAATAACAAATCCCAGTTCTTGTGGGCAGCACCCACCTCGTGGGACAGGCCACACTGCAGGACGCTGTTCCTGGCGATCTCACACATGTCACAGGTGCTGAGCTTGAAGACCTGGGCGGCGATGGCGTACTCCTCCATCAGGGGCTCCTGCAGCACAGGCGGGATTAGGGGCCAGCAGCTCTGCAGGGGCTGTCCCAGAGCTCACAGAAACCCTGAATCACTGGGCTTGGAGAAGATCTCCACGATCAAGTCCAACCTTGGACCAACAACCCCACTGAATATCACAAAGTGCCACATCTACTTGTTGTTTGAACACTTCCAGGGATGGTGGCCCCACCACTGCCCCAGGCAGCCCATTCCAATGTTTAATCACTCTTTCAGTGAGGAAATTTTTCCTGATATTCAACCTGAACCACCCCTCATAGAGGGGCAGATGGCCCAGCAAATGACAGACCCCCTGCAGGTGCCACTCATTTCCCCAAAAAATTGAGACTCCCACGCTCCCAGCCCCAGAGTCCCAGCGCTCCCACGGTACCTTGGTGTAGTGGAACTGCATGGGGTCATCTGTGGAAAGGGACACCATGAGCCCTTTCTGGTGGAAGTCAAGCAATGGATTCTTGGCATACTCCAGGAAGAGGCTGTTGTTGCTGAGTGGGGACATGGCAATGGGGATTTGGGCGAGGAAGTACAGATACTGCAGCACCGGGCTCTGCAAAGATGAGCAGAGGTACCAGGTTAGGGATAGAGTTACTGCACCTTGCACCTCTTTGGGGTCACTCCTCACATCAGGCCAGGCCCCAGGCAGGGAATACAGTGCAGAGAATGACAGAATCATGGAATCAACCAGGTGGGAAAAGACCTCTGAGATCATCAAGCCCAACCCTTGATCCAACACCACAGTGGTTACCAGACCATGGCACTGATGCCACACCCAGTCTTAAAAACCTCCAGGGACGGTGACTCCACCATCCCTGGGCAGCCCATTTCAATGTCTGATCACTCTCCCTGTAAAAAATTTCCTCCTAATATCCAACCTAAACCTCCCCTGGCACAGCTTAAGATCGAGAGCTCACGTGTGCAGGGAAAGAGATGGGCAAACCAGCAATCAATCCTTCACAGCCCACATGAGCATGAGAGGCCAAGGAGCTCAAACCTGTTTGATGCCAGAATGCAGCTGTTGTATCCTACAACAGGTCTGTGAGGCTGAACGCTCCAAATGTAATAAATTTCTCAGCCATATCCCCAAACATGCCCGGAGAGCCCCAGAGAAGTAACACGTGCCTGAAGCCAGGCTGTGGCAGCGTCAAGCAGAGGCACTGTCAGCCTCGTGGAGGCAGCTGGGAACACGTTCTGCTGCCCTGCCACGCCTGGGCTGCTCGTGGCAGACTAACTCCACTCACCTTCTTGAGGTTGAGGCCGTGGGAGATGTTATCTGCTGTCATGAAGGCTGCAAGCAGGTGTGTGATGGCCCCGGCCTCGCCGCAGTGCGGGCGGAACAGGAACGTGTTCATCCCACGCTGCCTGAGCTCAGAGAAGGAGGGCAGGCAGCAGGGTTAGAGGGCTGGATCTGACTTCAGGCCTAGCCCTGCCCCTACCCATGAATCCAGCTTGGCCCAGGAGCACATCACTCATTCTCATTTCTCCTCTGCACACACAATAGATGCACCTCCGCAATCCCTAATTTTCACCCAGTCTGTCACACTTCCTATTGAGGCGTTTCGGGATAGCTCTGGGATATGAAGCTCCAAACTGCACTGGGGGCAGAGCAAAGTGGGCCCCATTTCTCCCACATCAACAAAGAGCTGAGATAACTCAGCAGGCATCACCTTGTGCCTCCCCACGGTGGCAGATCCCGGGCCTCACCTGCGCAGGTTGTTCAGCACCAGGATGTTGGCGTACATGTAGTAGATGTAGTAGGTGTAGGATGGGTTCTTTGCAGAAGTCCACTGCTCTGGCTTTGGGCTTTTGGTGCTGAACATGTGTCCACTGTGCTTGGATTCATCATCCACGCTGTCGAAGCCGGTGATCTGCTCGGCAAGGTAACAAGAAAGGTGCATCTCAAGGCTCCCCACCTCGCTCTGCCCCCCTGCAGCTCACCAGAACCCACACCCCTGTCCCCCTCAAGAGAAGAAGCTGCAGGCCTTGCTCCTGACAACCCTCCAAGCACTGTCAGTAAGCAGGAATAAAGCTGACAGCTTCCCCAGGAGGTGAGGATTTCCCACAGCCCCACAGCCACCAGCTCAGGGAGTCTGAGCCCTCCCTACACTTCTGGCCACACACCCCCTTCCAAGAACGTGGCAGAAGGGCCACGAGCCCCCTGATGACATCTTCCATGTCAGCCAATACCCCATTTCTTGTGCACAAACAGGACTGTGAGTTCTCACCCCACCTGACAACATCATCAGGTGACACTCACGTGGCGTAGAAAGACACTCAGCTCTTTGTGGGCTTGAGGATTGACAGTTGCCTCAAACACAGGAACAAAGATATTTTCCAGCATTTTCCCAAAGCTGGGCAGGAAATTCTTAGACCTGAACACATCACTGTGGACAGAGACAGGGATTAGCTGCTACCAGTGGGACAACACAGCCCACTGTCCCCACAAGCCCCCCTGGCATGAGGGATCTGTAAGGCACAGCGACCCCACAGAACCACAGCACATACTAAATCCTGGGCACTTGGATCATCCACTTCATGTTGGGGGAGTAGACCCGGTGGGTGTTGAACCACCTGGCCAGCTTGGCCCACTCCTCCTCTGACCGCCCGTAGATGGAGAGCCGAGGCTCCGTGTGCTGGTACTTGGCTTCCTCCAGGTCGGAGCCAACCTCCTGCAAACCAGAGCAGACCGTGGCACAGGGAGCCACAGCAGCACCAGAGCTTCACTTCTTCCCCTCCCCTCTCTCCTCACCTTGATGATGGTGGCAAAGTACTCGCCGTTGATGGCGTTCTCTGTCTTCAGGTAGAGATCCCTCAGCTCGCTGGCCCCCACGGGGTTGTACTTGTCGTTGAACTTGTCGAAGCGCTGGAACGTCTGTCGGCCCTGGAAGAGGCGGGATCAGGGTCAAATCCTGCACTCACACACTGAGCCCCGGTGTGGCAGTGAGCAGGGACTGATCCAAGCCACCCAAAATGGGAAAAGCAGGAGCTGAGACACCCTGCCACAAATATTAACATGTACAACATGTCGTGGGTGCACAGGGAAGGGAAAAACAGTGCCTATGGAGGAGATGAGAGCGACCCAAGTGTGATTTTACACTAAATGCCCTACCACTTACAGCATGGACATCCAGGGAATCCACTGTCAGGTCGTAGGGGTGCAGATCGAGCTGCTGGAAGAGCTGTTTCAGGGTGAGCTGTTTGCCCTTGGCGTTGTAGACCACGCGGTCGGCGTCCACGCGGTAGGATTTCTTGATGAAACGCAGCAGATGCTTCTGGTTCATGCAGGCTGCAGCGTGGATGTGAGTGTCCACCTGAGAAGCCAGAGGGGCAGATCTCCAGCTTTCGAGCTGGGGTGCTCAGGTGCCATCCCAGGGATGCCAACAAACCCCTCGGGGCAGCGCGTTGTGTGGGGAGCAGGGCTCAGTGGTGTGAACACGAGACAAGAGCAGCCCAGCCAGCACATTCCCAGTTGTGGGAACGATGCCAGAGGACCTGGACTGTAATATCCAGTTCCCAGGGAGGGGAAGGCACCAAAACAGCTCCTCCTCAGGGTCACCAGGGCTGTAAGCCTTGCCCTTTACCTTGCGGCAGTTGTAGAAGTCCCGGTGCGGGTTGTTCTTCAGCTCCTTCATCTCCTCCATCTCATTGAGCATTTCATGCACTTGGAACTTGGACAAGAGGAACTTGAGGCGCCGGTGAGTGTAGGTCTTACTGGTGAAAGCAAAGGGCAGAACAGTGGTTGGGTTTCTCACCCCTCAGCACAGGGCTGCAGCTTTCACCCGAGGTGCTGGCCAGCCCTGCTTCCCTCAGGTGCTTCTCCTGGCTCTCTTGCAGAGCTTCAAAGGAAGGCTGGGCAGGTGGGAGTGTACCTGCAGGCCCTGTCTCCAATCCCTGAATGCTGGCTTTGCTCAAGACCCCAGTCAAGAGGGCTGACAAGGGCCAAGCACAGCTGGGCAGCCAGGTATGTCATCAGCGGGTTCCTCCCTCCTCCCAGGAAGAGGAGGGGGCTGCCCTGACCTCCCTCTGCCCACTGAGGCAGGACCTGTTTGTGCCGTGCACTTACACAGGCCCCTTTGCAATCAGGACCAAGAGGAAGTTCATGTCATCCACAAAGTCCTCGAGGCTGGGGTAGGGCAGGTCCTTTGGCTCGTTTCTCTCAGCTGCTGCCTTGTCAGCATAGACATAAACCACCCCATCCTTCATCTGCACGTGGTATCCCAGGTCCTCAGGGAGACTCCCAGTTTCAAAGGGATCCTGTCCTTCCTTCACTGGTGGGCTGAACACTGGACCAAAAGGAGAATTCCAGAATGCACAGGCTGCCAGCCAACAACCCCCAAACCTGCCATGCTCCCCCAGCCCAGGCAGTGAGCAGAGACACCCATGAGGAGACCTGGGCAAGCGGCTCCTCTGTGGAGCACTCTCACAATCCTCCCCTGCCTCATCCTGAGGCCATAGAGGAAACCCTTCCAGGATCCTGGGTGTACCTGGGCCAGCGTCACTCGGCTCTCCAGGCCTCCGCCCTCGATGGCACACAGGTACTGGGATGGGGTCTTGGGGAACCTCTGCAGGGAGCGCTGCATGTTCTTCTCCCGGATGCACAGGGCACGGTACAAACCTCTGCAGACCACCTCGAAATCTTCCACTGTCACCTGCAAGGGGGTTGTTGCTGAAGGCAAACACACAGCTGGAACTCAGATGTCCAAGAGACACCCTGGTGAACCCAGGTGTGCTGGTTTAAAAGTGAACCTGTGGGAGAAACGAACCCAGCTCAAGAGAGATTACAAGTCAGAGGTACAATTTACTAAAAAAGGTTACAATAAATGCAATGATACGGAGAAAAAAAAATGGTATTAACCCACATGTCCTGTCACTACATGCTCTTGTAAAAGGTTCCTCTCCAGTTTTCTTGTCATATCATATCATATCATATCTCATATCTCATATCATATCGTATCAATCATCCCCTCCCTCCCACTGCTCTGCCAGGACAGGGCAAGGAAGGGATGGTAGGCAGAGTCCCAGGTATGGCAAAGAGAAGATTCTGGTGCCAGAACCAGTGAATTCCAATGCCACCCCTTCTTACATTCCTCACTGTAATCTGTAGGTGGCCCTGAAATGGAAGCCAGGCTGGAGCAAAACACTAAATGCTATTTTTGGAGGCCCAGCTGAAACTGAAGCAGGAACAACATCATACACCGACCACAGTGACTAGGACAGTTTTTGATTTACTGCTCTGACAAGTGTTTTTGGCAGTCAGGAGTGGGCCAAAGGAGTGCAGCAGGGTGGGAAAACACCACTAGGACAGTCATGGCAGGGGGAATGTGCCTGAACAAGGAGGGATTTTCAGGTTCCCCTAACTGCTCTTCTGCTGTGCAGCTCCAAGCTGAGCTTGGATCCACCAGCACGGTCCCGGGGGCAGCACAGATGTAATAGGAGGCTGAGGAGGAGGAAGAGGAGGAGGAGAAGAAGGGATTAGCATAGGAGGTGATAACAGTCCTGGTCAAGTGGCTCTGGGTGACCCTGATCTCCCTCAGCCATTCTGGGATTGTGGGATATGCACAGATCCTGGACAGACACAGCTGCATGCAAGCAGAGAGGTTGTGACAGAATGAGCCCTGCCATATCCTCCCTGGAGAATCCCATGGGAACCATGGAGCAACCCACAGACCCCTGCAAAGGAATTCAGCTGTGGATCCCCCAGGAATGCAGCAGGGCACCACCAGAGGCTTGTGAGGCACAGACTGATCTGGGAGACCCTGGGCACTGCTGAGGGACAGGCAGGGACCAGAGGTGGTGGCCAGCACAGGAGGGGAACAACCATGGAAGTACCTACCCCAGAGGCATAATCCCCACTGATCTGGACCCTCTGGAAGTCAGGCACAGCCTGGTACTCAGGGGAGGTGGAGATGACCTCATCAATGCCAGACAGGCTGCTTACAGACTTCTTAAGCAGTGGCAGGGCCAACGCAACTGTCTTCAGGCGGAGCTGGTGCTTCTTCCTGCCAGGGAGGAAAACCTCAGGCAAACAGCCCCATTCCACGGTCCCACGCAGGGGCAGGGGCAGGGGCACTTCGCACAGCCGTGTCCTAACTGTGCACAACACAAATCAGCTCCCTGGTGCTCTCTGAGCACCTGAAACAGCCACTGCCAAGAGCAGAGTGGATCACAAAGTAGCCACACAGACTTGGGAATTCTCATCTTTCCAGAGAGAGGTCTCCAATTGTCCCTCTCCACCAGCTCTGAGGCCACTGCCGTGCTGACACCCAGGGAGCAGGGTGTCTTTCTGTCCAACAGTGGGCACACTTGGAGAGGAAACCCTGGCTACCTGACAGATGCCTTGGGATTAGCAGGGATTTATCCCACAGGTGCGACGAGCTGTTCCCATTCCCATGGGCTTTGATTTACATCCCCCTTGCTCCGGCCGAGGGCGTGCAGACCGTGTTCCTCTCCTCCCCCAGGGGATCCCTGGCCGTTGCTCACCTCTTCTCCACGGTGACATTGCTCTCCTGCAGCATCATGTGCACTGTCATTTCTTTCCGGGAGATGGGGCAGATCTCCTCCATATCGAAGGGAGATGTTTCTCCCTTGACCTCCTCGTCTTTCACCTCGGAGGCGAAGATCTTCTCCGCGAAGGAGCGCATGGACTCGTCCATCTCTGCAGGGAGGAGGAGGAGGAGGAGCAGAGCTCAGGCTCCCACAGGCAGCAGGTTCCCAGCCAGTGGAACAGGCAGATGGCCCTTGCAGGCAGCTCAGGGCTCAGCTGCCGCTTCCTTGTGGCCCCCACACTCCCTGAAAGACTCGGAGCGACCTCCCAAATTTGCCACGAGGCTGGGACGCACCTGGTGGGCTGGAGACATACCTTGATACCCCCAGCACAGCAGGAATGGATTCAAGAGTGGTGCAAGAAGAAGCAAATCCTTGGGAAGGGCAGTTTATGGGAGCATGCACTGGTGGGGAGAGGGGAGGATTGGCAGAGCCCTCACAGCTCTGGGAAGTCCAAGACCCACTTGCTCCTCAAGGCATCCAGTCAGGAGGAAGAGAGAGGTGTGGATGGAGGGGGCAGAGCCAGCAGCCCAAGCACTCAGCTCCAACCATCCCAGTGCAGCTGGAGAGCCCCAGCTGGGGCTGGGCCCCCCTCACCCACCACGTGCACTGCCAAGGTCACCACTCACACAGGGCCGGCTGGGGCCTTAAGAAGGAGGAGAAGGGTGCTTAAAAGCCCTTCCACTGCCAACAAAACACCATGAAATGTCTGCCAGAAGCCCAGGTTTGCACGGCAGCACAGGAAGAGTAACACAGCAGGCTTTGCCAGCAGTTGGCAGCTCAGCACAAAGCTTGGCAAAGGATCGATGCTGAAGGATGGACCTCGCCATCGACAGGCCACACAGGGCGTGGCCAGCACGTGAGGACCAAAGCAGAACAGCCAGAGGGTTCTCACCAGCACTCAGGGGTGCCAGGACAACATTTAACAAGTTGCAGTTTCCTGTATCAAAGGGCCAAAAAGCTGGGACCATTCCGTGTAACACCGAGGGGCACAGCTGGCACTGCCAGGAAACAGCGTTTCTGCAGCTGCTGAAAGATCACCATGATCATGTAACAGCTCTTGGGTTCCAGTGATCATGGCCAGGCAGTAACACAGCAGAGCATAGAGAAACCCAGCAATACTCACGTTTGTCTTCCGCTGTTTGAGATAAAACAGAGACAGAATAAAAGCTGTTGTGATCAGCCCTTCAAAAGATGAGCCCTTTTGCCTTATCATCCCATCAGTCATTAAAAAGGGATTAGCAAAGTACAAGTTTAGCGAAATCCTTCCACTTAAAAAAGAATTATAGAAACATAGAATGGTTTGGGTTGGAAGGGACCTCAAAGCTCCTCTCGTTCCACCCCCTGCCATGGGCAGGGAATATCCCAGGCTGCTCCAAGCCCTGTCCAGCCTGGCCTTGGACACTTCCAGGGATGGGGCAGCCACAGTTTCTCTGGGCAACCTGTGCCAGGGCCTCCAAGATGAAACATTTGCCAGACCCCAGATCACCTCAGCCAACACTGCAAGAGGCTAACAGGTACCCAGTGACGTGGGAAGATGGGGCTGTCCTGGGAGGTCTCTCCCTATACCCGTGTCCAGGTGCAGGGATGCAGCAGGACCAGAAGGAGGGCAGGACAACCTTCTCCTGCTGGCCAAGCAAGCAGATACTTCAGTGACTCAGAGCAACCAGGCTTGGCTATTTTTTGCCCATGACTCGCCCTCCTTTGTGGAGATCAGGGTGGGCGGTCATTTCAGAGCTGCCGAGTTCCATCCCCCTGCGGTCACATCTCCACTTATCCCCTAACAGGAGCAGACAGCTGAGGCACTGCACTTCCACAGATCCTCACTCCTGGTCATACAGGGTGGCAGCAACATTTTGAGGGTGCAGCTCCTGCCCTTTCCATCTGAGCCAGCAGTTCAGGCTGCAGCTCCAACGTCACTCACTCGGGAGCACACACTCCTCACCTTCTAATTCCATGTATTCATTTGCAAATGAAGCACCCTAGAAATACCTCCACTGACCTTTCATCCCTTTAGTGGATGAAAATTACACCCAGGAAGGTTTACAGCCTCCCACTGGTGGCGCAGGGCCAGGTTTTAGCAGCAGGCTCACACCCTGGGACGCTGTCTGTCACACCACAGCCCTGCCGTTCCAAACTGGCTCTTATCAGAGCAGCTTGGTGCTGACACCGCTCTGCAGCCACATGTCACATGTCCCTCTGCACTGCTCTGCAGAGCCTGGCTGGCCCCACTCCTGCTGCCCAGCTTGTGCTCCCCATGCCCTCAGGAATCCAGCTTCCCACATCTGAGCTTTGACAAGTTGACCAGGGACTCCTGAAATCCCTCTGATCACACTTCCACAGGGAATTCAGTGTTGTCATTACAGGACACATCACACTGCACGACAGGCAATGTTTTTCTTCAGTACAAGCAGAGCAAGATTTAAACTATTCCTTTAAACTATTAAAAATATCCCTACAAATGTCTCCAAGCAGGAAGCAAGATGCCCCAAGGCCCCAGTGAGGTCCCGTGGACCCTCCAAATCTCCAAGGCTGTGGGCTAAGAGCCTGCCCCGAGGCTCCTTGGCTCGCTGCTTTCAGACCTACCTGGAATTCTCCCCCGGGACATCGTGGCAGCAAAGTCTGCAGAGCCTCAGTGACGCCCCACTGTCCCTGAGCACACGGGGCCAAGTGAGTGCACAACAGCCCAACACTAATTTTACAGCTTTCCCTTCCCTGTAATCAGACCCTCCCACTCTAAAAGGAGAGTAGAGATCAACTGGGGACCTATTTAAAGTGCAGCCACAAGCCCTTTCACTGAAGCAGGTGAAAGCAAGGCTCAGATTTAATGATTTTTCTTCTCTAAGTCAGGCTTCATTCTTACATTTCATGGAATTGCCTGGTCAGATTCCTGCTTCCCAGAGCAGCTGCACCTCTCAAATGTGGGAGTCAGTCTTTTAAGAGAGACTAAACCTGACGCCTCCTGTGCTGAACCAAAGGTTTAAAGGAAATTCCCAAGGCAGAGGTTTGGTGTTTCCATCAGAACAGGGGCTGTGGGGAGATGCAAAGGGTGTGCTCTCACCTGTGCTGCTCAGAGAGGAGGGATCTCCTTGAAAGCCTGGATTTTAGCAGCAGGGGCTGCACAGATGTCCTCACATCTTCCCAGCTGAATCCAACAAACAAAAGGAAGGTGGGTCAAGGAACTCCTGCCTTAAAGCTGCACACGTGGCTTGGGTCTGGCAGAGCAGGCAGCAGGTTGGGAAGCACCTCTTGCCTTGATTTCAGCAGATTGTTCCCAGCACGTTGGCACTGAGGGCTGTACCCTCCTTCAAGGTGTCCTCAAAGCCACTTCAGATCTCACCTGAAGCTGGGAAACAGCTCCTGGTCCGAAGAAAAAGGCCAGAATTTTGCCATGCCCTTCACGTTGCCAGAGTAACTCTGAGCTTCTGACCCAAGCTCCTGCTGGGAAATGGTGAACCAGAACAGGTCAGAAGGGTGAAAGAGTTCTGATGTAAAACAGGGTCTTCTCCTGTTTGTTCACACTTCAGTCCTTGATGGTGCTGAAAAACTGCCCTGGAACAGGAGAAATCAAGCAAAGCATCTGGGCTGCAGCAGCACAGCCTGGCTCTGATTTAATAAAGGTCACAGCTTTGAAGGGAACAGGAAAAACACCTGGAAAAGCCAACATTGCTTGGAATTTTATGTGCAGGTAAGGGCTTCCCGTGCTATACTTTGCAGGAAGAGCTATGGAAAGGCCTTGTCCCAGGAGCAGGCTGGGAAAAGTGGCAATTACTTGCACGAGATACAGAGCTGGAAACAACAAGCCCTGGGTTTGGTTTGTGGGTGCACGGGAATCTCGTGGCACAAGTGGTCAGTGAAGTCGGGTGAGCTGAGACCTGGCACAGCATCTGCAGCTGAGACAGTTCCCAAGGCATCCAGAAACTCTCTGGCAGAGAAGTGCCCACTGTTTGACGGGCACAACTTTGAAACACTCTGGGTGAGGATCAAGAAATCCTCCAGATTTCAGGGAATTGTGTCCCCACTTGCCAGTTATTCCCCAGGAATATGAATTGATTTCCCTCCCTCCAACCTGCAGAGGGGCAGCAACAGGGCAGAGCTGGGATGCTGTTACACTTTAGCCTCCTCTCAGTTTTCAGTTCCTGAATTCTTCTTGTTCTTACCCATCCCTGAGTTTGAGGGTCCCCAACACCACCTTAATTGTTTAACCGTTTCATTCATGCTCCATAAAAAGTGGCTCCTGCTTGTTTTGCTCTCCCACAAGGATTACACCCACCCTTAACCTTCCTGGATGCAGCAGGATCTTGGGATTCACATCTGACACCAGAAATAACCTTTGGGGTACAGAGGTCACCTCCCTCTTGATCCCTCAGCTTTTTTAATCCCAGGGTCAATTTGGGTGGGCTCATGGTGGAAATCTGAGTAAAGCCTGGGTATGCTGTGCTAAAATTAGATCCATGGCCTCTGCAAACTCAAGGGCTGGCATAAACAACCCATCTTCCCGCTCTTTTTCAGCTGGAAAGTGAGGGATTCACACCCAGGGGCTTCAGAGTGGCTCTAACCCCACACACACACTTTTAGCTCTTACTTGTCTTCACTCCACCAAGGTCTAAGCCAAAGGCAGATGGCTGGACATGCCAGAAATTTGGCATTTTAGGGTGTTCTTCCAGAAGGATCTTCCTCTAGCTCACCCAGCAGAGCATCCATAGCACAGGGGCAGCTGTCCAAACAGAAGCCACGAGGCAGGCTTTGCCAGGAAATTGGTTTTAATTCCTGAAGAAGAAGAGTGTGAACAGAGAGGGGCTAACGTGGATCTCACCAGGGCCCTCCTGGCTGTGCTGGCCCTTTGATCAACTCACCCAGCACTGAGAAAAACCTCAGCAAGTTCTTCCCTCCCCTGCACGGATTCCTCCAGGGCTGGAGGAATCCTCCTGTGTTCCAGGGAGCAACCAAAGTCATTCCTCCTGCAGGTGGGTAACTGTTTGTAGGATCAGACTGTTCCAGAGAACAACCCCACTGCAAGAAAACTTTCCTCATAATCCAAGAAACCTCTGGATTTAAGCACCCACCTGTGCTCATGTTGTGAGTCCTTTAGGGACAGGCAGTGACTGCTGAGGATAAACAGTGCCAGGAGTGTGTGGCCCTGGCACTGGGAGTCTGTTCCTTCACTCCTGGCACAAAAAACCAGGTTGGACTCCAGGTTCCAGAGTCCTGACTGAGGAGAAACACACTGAAAGCACATTTACCGACGTGTGGTGTGACACAACCTGCCTCACTGCAGGAGGAAAGCCAAGAGGGAGGGATTTTAGAAAGCAGAATTAAAGCAAGTTAAAAGCCTGACAAGAGAGCACCGAGTTGGACACAGCAATAACTTCCTGGCTGATTTCACTCCTGAAACATCAAGTGAAAAAGTTTCCCTCTCAAGGCCACTCTCACTGCTAATTGATGCTCTAGGGCACATCTATGACACAGCTGCCCATGCCCCACCACAGAAGTGACAACTGGAGTAAATCCCATCCCCCAGGGAAAGCAGAGCACTGTTGACAAACTTCCCATAATCCCCTCGTGGGTCCCGTGCCCGGCTCACAAAAGACACAAGCAAAGAATTCCAAGTTTATTCTTTAAAAAAAAAGTTATTTAAGAAGCAAAATAATTTACTTCAATTCAAACCGAAAGAGATGCATTACTGAAAGCAAATAATTAAACAAAGTAACAACAAATTAGCCCTTGGGTTAAAAGTCCAGGCCCCAACAGTTCCCAACCATCCTGGAGGTTAATCAGAGGCAGACACTCAAGGTTTGGGGTGTAAAGGAGAACATACAGGTCAGAATGGGATTCATCTTCCACTGCTCTCCTTCCCCCACAGGCCTGAGGTTGCTTGAAATCCAATTCTAAGTCACTGAGCTGTGCTAAAAATTATGACACCTTAAACATCCTGGTTAATACCCAAAGTTCTACCAAGGACAAGAACTAAATCTGAGCAGTTGTTTGAACACGACCACGGAGTGGGGACACAAAGAGGAACAACCACAGAGTTACACTGGTTCCTGTTCTCAGCCACAGCAACAGAAACATTTACTACAGTTATTGGCACTTGTAATTTTTGAACAAGAGCTTTAAACCCTTTTTTAATATTTTACCTCAAAGTTGTTTTTCTTCCAGGTCAGGACAGCTTGGCACTAACATGGGGTTGTGCTGTTAGTTGTAAATAACATTTAGACTAAATCTACAAAACCACCTTTTCTGGAGACTGTCTTGTGCAAAACCTCCTGTGCTTATCTTCTAAATAATTCCCCCAAAAGTTCCTGGGGTTTTGTCCTTCCACAGTTCTCATCTGCCACCAAACCCTGGGTTCTCTATAGAGAGCTGGAAATGGAGAACAACCATTGACTTCACACTCCTGACTAGTGCAACACCCTGATTTTGCAGTATCTGCTGGATTTGGAACTAAACCACCTGTGATGCAGCTCTGCAGCATCCCAAAAACTGATACACCCCCAGGTGAAGGTTCCAGAGGTGACATAAATGCAGACCAATCCTCACCAGGGCTTCCTCCCTTTCACAGAGCCCAGGAGAAAGGGAACAGCAAAGAGAAAGCAGATTCATTTGCCAGTCAATTCCCACACATTTCTGAGAATTCCCAGCCTTTTGGAGTTACAGCTGGTACATTTTAATGACAACCAGAAGAGGCTGTGCAATGTGGAGCATTGTTATGATGAACCTCCATCCAAAAGGAATCATTTTCCATACCTGACCACACAGACCTCAAACACCAAAGGCTCCCTGCCAAAGGCTTCCCACAGGCAGCCCTGCTCTGAACAATCCTGCTTGCCAGGGGACAAATTCCTGCATTTCCCAAACAATCAAAACCCACGCAGGGCCTGGATGGGGTGGGATCTCACCCTTCAAACTTCGTGCAAACTCCTCATTGCTCCTTCCCAAGCTCTGCCTCCACGTGTCCAGATGTGTGTCCCAAAAAATGATCACCTTCCAGGGGTAATTTTATTAACTGGACAGCAGTGTGCCACGCATCTCTTTGGAAGCAGGCAGTCAGCTCCTGCCACAGGGAATGCTTTCATAAAAAAGCTTTTCTAGACAAAATTTTCTCGGCCCTGAGAGCCTGCGCTGATGGCAGTGCTGTCACATTTAACCTGCAGCATGAGACCAGCCATGGAATGGGTTGGAAAGGACCCTAAAGCTCATCCAGTTCCACCCCTTGCCATGGGCAGGGACACCTTCCACTAGCCCAGGTTGCTCCAACTTGGATTTGAAAACTTCCAGGGATGGGGCAGCCACAGCTTCCCTGGGAAACACCTTCAACCAAACTGAACTCGAGCCACAGCCAATGGTACCCACAATTCTCCCACCACATTGCTGGAAAATAATGTTTTCTGTAAAAATACTGTGGGTTTAATTCTTATCAGTGTCACATCAGTCAAAGGTGAAATAAATTGCAAACAGTACTTATAAGGATTATCAGAGATAAAGAAAACGTGATGCAGATTCATCCTCTTCATTCCAAGAAGAGAAATAGGAATGTAAGCAGTGAAGGAAGGAATATTAAGAGGACAAAATTCTTCTCTCTCTGTTTACTATTTTATAATTTCCACTTGAAACTGAGAACTCCAAATTAAGATGTTTGACTGACACCAACAAACTGAAATTAAGCCTCTTGCAATTCCCCCGCCGGTCCGGCACTGACCCAACGCTCCCTCTGTTGGCTGAAGGCTCCTTCCTCCTCCACCAGACTGACTGGGAATGCAGCTTTGCTGGGGGGATACCCTGCCTGACCCCATGGAACAGAATCCAGCAGCAGCAGCACAAGAAGTAGGGAAGGACACGGCACTCCAAGGAACTCTGGCGGGTTTGGCAGCAGTGACCGCCCTCGCATGCCCCGTTAGGGGGAAGGACTCGCAGCTCTTCCCTCGAGCTCGGGGGCTGTGAGTTAGAGCAGGCCCAGAATTCCCGTCAGTCTGTCCCACACCTTCTGTGAAGTCATCACTGAACTCATTTCCTTCCTCATTTTGCAGGGATGCTGCAATCAGAAGCTGGCTCGGGTCTCTGTGGCAGCTCACTGCCCTCTCCCCTCCGTCACACAATCCCAGGACGGTTTGGGTGGGAAGGGACCTTAAAGATCATCTCATTCCACCCCTGCCACGGGCAGGGACACCTCCCACCAGACCAGGTTGCTCCAAGCCCCGCCCAACCTGGCCTTGGACACTCCCAGGGATGGAGCAGCCACGGTCTGTGACAGTCAACCCAAAACCCCCTGACAAGGAAACCCTCCAACTGCATTTCACAGTCTAGAGACATTTTGCAGAGACTCTTTACAGTCTGGTGGTAAGAAAATAATTCAAAACAAAACAATTTGCAAGTTACACAGAGAGCTGAGGAACAGCTGTCCAAACTAACCTCCAGTTACCAGATTAACTCGTGAGAAGCTGCCCAGAAGTGTTGGCAGTTCGTGTTAAAAACGAGCAGCCGACTGATTTGGTCCAGCTTGGAAGAGATCTGAATGCTGCAGGAAAACAACACAGAGCATAAACTGTTCCACCCACAAAGAAAGTAAAACACAGGTGCAGTGTGTCCCCTGCCTTGTTCAAGAGTCTCACAAGTGCCTGCTGGACCTCCCAGCCTACAAATCCCTGCTGCAGTGTCCTGTCAGGCACAGATCACCCACACCACACTTGCCTGCTTAAGACAACGAGCTCCCAAGAAATTCCAGTCCTTGGGGTTTTCCTCAACCCAAGGGCCAACTTCAAATCTTCTCAGCAAACAGGCACTTAATTAGGAAAGGTTTTCCTCTTTATTACAGAAATGGAGGATCAGGCAGGTGGCACTCCTGGCACAGTGGAGATGTTGCACTTTGCTGCACAGGTGCCCAGAGAGCAGACACCCGTCTGACAGGGGACAGGGGCATCCCTGGTGACAAAACCACGGGTGACATCGCTCTGTGCCACTCCTCTGACAGCACTGCACGAGATCCAACAGACAGGGGACACACAGCACTTCTAGCTTTTACTCTAGAGGTAAAGTGTCATCTTTTTCACAGCATTTAGTCTCTATAGTTCACTTTTGTGACCGGTTTTCTTCTTGGACAAACCCAGGTAACACAGTGAGGAAAAGAATCCCAGTACATCCAGAGATGCTGCTGCTCCAGGAGCTGAGCAGGGAGGTAGATGCCATGGATGTTCTCTTCAGATGGAGCACGGAAAAGGACCTTGTGCTAATTAACTGGTGCCCAGAGTCTGCCACTGGCACCAAAACACTGCAGGGCATCAGCATGAGATGCAGCCCAGGAGCATCCAGACTCGTCCAGCAGCTGCACCTGAACCACGTTTTCTTGGCATCTGGAACAGAAAGGCACCTCCAATTAGCACCTAATTAGCTGCTGGGCAACTCTGGGATGGACTGCAGTGCCACACTGGTCTGTCTGTGTTCACAGTGATGAGCAACAGCTTTTAGGGAACTGCTGAAAGGAATTTCACTCAGCTGGGAGTTCAAATTGCAGTTACTCGAACCATTTTATTTGGTTAATCCTGGAACTGGGCACATCCCAGAGGAACTCAGCTCAGGGTGAGCTGTGCAGAGCCAATCAACCAGCAGCACGTGGGGCCTGCACAACTGGGCACACTCCTTTCTAGTTCAGGTGTGCACACAGAAACCACACATCCTCCAGACACACCAAATGGTTTCCCAAAGGAAGGAGACGCCGACAGGGACGACACAGAAAATCACACCATCGAAATCGGTGGAAATCACAGACTCATGGGATGGTTTGAGTTGGAAGGGGCCTCAGAGATCATCTTGTTCCACCCACCCACACAACACCCAAAAAATGCTGTAGATTAAATTTCCTTTTCTTAAGCTTTGTCATCAACTTAGGGGGGAACTTATTTTTTTCTTTTTTTCCTGAGAAATAATTAATTGTGGGCTCCAAATCTCTGGGAATCAACAGTTTGTACAGCGGGGGGGGGAAAAAACCCACCTATGGCAACCAGCATTTCTAAGCCACACTGGAAGGCAAAAAGAACAAGAAGCCAGTGGAAAACTGAGATGCCAGCTCACCTTTTCACATCACAACACAGGACAGTCCCATGCAGCCTTGGTTCCCATCCTCGCTGCTGTTGAGCTTCTTCATCCGGTACTGCCGGATCTCTCTCACCAGTGTGTAAAAAGCATCTTCCACGCCCTGAATGCAAAGGGAAGGTCAAGCATTTGCTCTCCTGGAGCTTCTGAAATCACTGATCTTTCCATCCCAGGAGCCCTTAATGCATGTGAGAGACACACTTTTCCAGGAGGAGCAGCACCCAGCTCATCCCAGGGCTCGTAAGTGGATGAAACTTTGATGTCCCAAACTCTCCCCTCACACTCCTGATTCTCCCTAGGGCAGCAGCCCCTAAAAGAAACATAGAAAACTGGAAGTGTAGGGATGTTCCATGCAGGAAACAACCTACTTCTTGCCTAATCACCTCCTAGAGTTTAATTCCTTAGAATTTTCTGGCTACTTTCTTAATAACTGCACCTTTTCTGGTTCATCCTCCCCCTGCTGCAGACTGGGCAGAGCCAACATGTTCAGGGCAGCTCTGGAGGAGCCCATCAGTCCAGTCTGGGGAATTCTGTCTGAAAACATAATCTTGTAATTGGCTTTCATTAAGAAGCCAAGAAAACTGAACAGGTGTGGGATGATCAACTGCAACAAGAGCAGGAGAAGCTCTGCTCTTCTTCTTGCAGCCATGAAACACTGAACAGGGAGTCAGCACGAGTCTGAGGTGATTCATGTGATAAACACAAAACTCTCTCAAGCTGAGAGTGGGGAAATTAAAGCTAAAAACTGTAAAAAAAAAAAAAAAGGCTTCTCCTGCAGATAAGGCCAAAGCACGAGGGGAAAGTGTCAGAGCAGCCAGCATTTCACAGCAGGGAGGTGCCAGTGGAGCATCTCACCTGTCTCGTTTTTGCAGAGGTCTCTATGAAGGGGATTCCGTAGCTTTTTGCTAATTCTTGAGCCTGTTTTGTGTCCACTGTTCTCGTGGGCAGGTCACACTTGTTCCCAACCAGCACCATGGGCACGTCATCCGAATCTTTCACTCTCTTGATCTGTTCTCTTCAGGGAGACAAATTGAAAAGAAAAGTTAGGAACTATTTTCTAAATACAAAAACTGGGTTTAGTTGGGTATTCAAACCACCTTGTGCTCCAGAAATATAAATTAAAGCTGGGCAGGACCTCAGGGGTTCAACCTACAGCAGGATGGCCAATAACTGTGTACACTTCATTTTCTGGTCCATGTGTAACTCTGTTTTTCTCACTCAGTTTCTTACAGATGATGTTCTGTACTCTGTAAACATCATCTGATTCACCACAGAGTCACTGGGGTTGGAAGGGACCTCTAGAGATCACCCAGCCCAACCTCCCTGCCAAGGCAGGAACTGTCCAGGTGGGTTTGGGATGTCTCCAGGCAGGGATCTCCACACCCCTCCTGCGCAGCTGTTCCAGTGCTCTGCCACCCTCAGTGCAAAGAAGCCCTTCCTCAGGCTGAGGTGCAACTTCCTGTGTTTTAGTTCATGGTCATTGCTCCTCGTCCTGTCACTGGGCACCACTGGGAAAAGTCTGGCACATCCTCTGACACCCTGTGGAGACATCTGTAATGATTGAGGCTCTGATTGATGATTAACACAACCACACCCATAACTGTGCCATTCTTAACTGACTGAAGATAGTGGGCAGGCCCTGGCACAGGTTGCCCAGAGAAGCTGTGGCTGCCCCATCCCTGGAAGTGTCCCAAGGCCAGGTTGGACGGGACTTGGAGCAACCTGGGACAGTGGAAGGTGTCCCTGCCCATGGCAGGGGGTGGGATGAGATGAGCTTTAAGGCCCCATCCAACCCAAACCTGTCTGTGATTCCATGTATTGGCACAAAACACTTGAAAAACTTCCTGACAGAAGTGGAAGACTTTCTTGGCTGTTATTTAGTCTTCACTGAGTCACCTCCCCGCTTCACTTCAACCAATGGACCTGGTGCCTTGCCCAGTGTTCCCGCACCTGTAAAGGTTGATGTCAGCGAAGGATTTGCTGTTGTTGATGGCAAAGACACAGAGGAATCCCTCCCCAGTCCTCATGTACTGGTCCCTCATGGCACTGTACTCCTCCTGCCCCGCCGTGTCCAGGATGTCCAGCAGGCACGTCTCGCCGTCGATCACCACCTGCTTACGGTACGAGTCCTGCAGGACAAACACGGGCATTTCCCATCAAAAACACGGCACTGCCGCTTCCCACCTCGGGCATCACGGGTGAAAAATGGAAATAATAATAAAAAGATGGGTATGAGGGAGAGAGGAGCTTTTCCAGCTCCTCCAGAGGAGGTTGTGGCTTCCCCGTCCCTGGAAGTGTCCAAGGCCAGGTTGGACGGGGCTTGGAGCAACCTGGGATAGGGAAAGGTGTCCCTGCCCACGGCAGGGGGGTGGGAAAAAAAAAGAGCTTTAAGGTCCCTCCCAACCCGAACCATTCTGGGATTCTTGCCTCTCTCTAATAAAAACCTACCAATATCTCAAACTACCCCATGTTAAACATTACTCAAACCACCCCATTTTAAATGTTACTCTGAGCCCCCCAACCTTTGTTACAAAACAGCCCTCTTGTTTGAAATAAATCCCTCAATTCATAAGACAGGGGGGGAAAAAAAGGGGCATTATAAACACCATCCCCGTGCCAGGGATCTCCACCCTACAGAACCAGCCGTGGCTTTTTTTTTTGGTTGCCTTTGGCTGCTTCAGGAAGCCCGAGGCAGAATCGCCCCCAGAACCCCGGGCCGGGCTGGGCTGGGCTGAAGGGACCCCACAGCCCACCCGGGCACGGGCAGGGACCTCGGGAAGAGTTTTCCCAGCATTTCCCACCCCCCGCTCCGGCCCCGCCGCGGGTCCCGCAGCCCGGCCCGGCCCCGCCGCACCTCGATGGTGGGGTCGTACTCGTCCACGAAGTGGTTCTGGATGAGCTGGATGGTCAGCGCGCTCTTGCCCACGCCGCCCGCGCCCACCACGACCAGCTTGTACTCGGTCATGGCCCCGCGGCCCGGCCCGGCCCCGCCGCGATCGCCCCGCGCCGCTTCCGCCTCCCGCCCGCGCGTCACCGCCCGCGCCGCTTCCGCACACGCGGCAGCCGAGCGACACCCGGGACACGGGGAGAGACACCCGGGACACGGGGAGCGACACCCGGGACACGGGGAGAGACACCCGGGACACGGGGAGACACCCGGGACAGGGAGAGACACCCGGGACACGGGGAGCGACACCCGGGACACGGGGACAGGGAGAGACACCCGGGACACGGGGAGACACCCGGGACACGGGGAGAGACACCCGGGACACGGGGAGCGACACCCGCAACGGGGACACGGGAGAGACACCCGGGACACGGGGAGCGACACCCGGGACACGGGGAGACACCCGGGACAACGGGGAGAGACACCCGGGACACGGGGAGCGACACCCGGGACACGGGGAGAGACACCCGGGACACGGGGGACACGGGGAGAGACACCCGCAACAAGGGGACACGGGGGGACAGGGAGAGACACCCGGGACACGGGGAGAGACACCCGCGACAAGGGGACAGGGAGAGACACCCGGGACACGGGGAAACAGGGAGAGACACCCGGGGACACGGGGAGAGACACCCGGGACACGGGGGGACAGGGAGAGACACCCGGGACACGGGGGAGGGACAGGGAGAGACACAGGAGGACAAGAGGACACGGGGGAACAGGGAAGGGACGGGGGGACACGGGGGGAACACGGCGGGACATGGGGAGGAGAGGGGAGAACACGGGGGGAAAGTGAGAGGCACGGGGGAACTGGGGGACATGGGGGACACGGGGAGACGCGGGAGGGCTGGACCCCACCCAGGGGGAATGACACCCACCTGCATCCCATACAGCGGAATGAGACCGACTGGAGTCCCAGAGCCTTAAAGAAGGGGAACGACATCGAGCCCAGTATCCCGACATTTTAAAGGAGGGAATTGTAGTTTTAAAGGGGGAATGACATCGATCCTGCATGCCCTAAAGGGGGAATGGAACCGACCCCACATCCCAGCGCTTTAAAAAAGGGGAATGACACTGAGGCCTGGGCCCTGGAGTTTTAAAGGGGCAATAACACCGACCCCACAACCCCTATAGGGGGGAATGACACCGACCCCACCTCCCGTAGTTTTAAAGGTTTCAAAGTGGGAAATGAACCCGAGCTCCTCGTCCCGGAGCTTTAAAGGGGTAATGACACCAATCCTTAAAGGAGGGCGTTAAAGGAGGGAATGACACAGAGCCCCAGGGTCCTAAAGGGAGGAACGAGCCCCTCAAGATTTGAACAGGGGTTTGAGTCAAACTTAACACCCTAAAGTGCAATCAGGAGCTGGCCAGTTCTGATTGAGTGCACTGTGAGCATCACATGTGTGGCTGATCTTCTTTCTAAAGGGTAAGAGAAGACAATCCCAAGCTGGAAGGGCTGTCTGGATGAGAGACACCAGGAATGAGGTGAGCAGGGCTGAGCAGTAACTGGGGGACAGTAATTAGCACTAGAAATGAGAGTTATAACTTGCAAACAGGGCATTGAGTACTAAGTAATAGAAGAGCTGTGTAATTTGTAACCAGTGAATGCTTCTGTGTTTGTTAAAATGTGCAAATAGTGTAAAGTTGTGATGGTCAGGGAGCCTTTTGTGGGAACCACCAGCTTTGTGCAAAGCAGAATAAAACACTAAAATCCCTCACCTTGGTGTGTGAATTGGAGATGCCACTGGGAATGAGCCCATGGTTGGGATGACACGGATTTAACACATCCCCCACCATGGAAAGGAAGAGGCAGAGCACAGTGAGGGTTTTTTCAAAATCAGTAAAACTTTATTCTATTTCCATTCTTTGCCATTAACAGAAAAAAAATTGGAGAAAGCAATGTTTTGTTTTACAAAGATAATGCATCTCCCAGAGAAGAAAACCCTAAATTGAGAATAGAGGTAACATGAAAAAACAAAACAAAACAAACAAAAAAAAAACCACAGTACTGCCCTCTATTCCAAAAAGTAACTCCTGATCTTTTTGGTTAAAGTAATACTTAGACCAATCATTCAGTTTTCTTGCTTGATAAAGTGTGACTGGGGAAATGGAGGGAGGGGGCAAGGGGAGGGGAGGGAAAAAAACCCAAAAAAAGAAAAGAAAAAAAAAAAACAAACCAAAAACAAAAAAATAAACCAAAACAAAAAAAAAACAAAAAAAAAAAAAAAAAAAGCACACAGACATCAACTATTCACCTTGATGAAAGTCTCAATACAGCTATGGAAAGCCTAAGTATTTATTCTCTTACAGTACACTGGGTGCCGGCTGCAAAAAGAACAAAAAAAATGTATTCACTTCAGGCACAACTTCTTTCTTTTTAAATTTAAATCAGTAAAAGAAACTGGGTTTAGAAGCTGCAGTGTTCTAAGCAGCAGCAGATTTGTGCATTGTTTTAAATATATTTAAATTACCACACTGATGGCACACCTCAGCCTTATGAAATTCTGCACTGTCTGTTCCAGAACACCACAAAATCCACCGACCCCGGGAGAGACTTGCACTGAGCTCTAACGACTGGCTAAAGGAGTCAAGTTAAATGAACTAGGAAAACACTATAACATTTGGCCATCAACTCAAGGTATCTGAATGTTCATCGAGATCTGATATAAACTGAACTTATTCCATCCTCACATGGTCCTCAGAATTTGAGCAGAGTGAGCTGAAGTGAGCCTTCCCCTCCACTCGGGAGGGGATATAATGCAACTGAGCACTAAGGCATAAGAAACCTTGGCCAAAAAACAAGGATAAAGCATAATAACTGTAGTGCAGAATTCCACAAGGTCTGCCCGAGCAGAGCTGTCTATGTTTACTCACAGAGGCAATGGAGATTGCAGTTACCAGTTGCGTTAAATGCACCATTCAAAACAAGCTTCTAAAATGTGATACTATAAGGCGCCACCTTAAAGTTCTCCAGAATGCAACTGTGCAGAAATTTAAAATGGTTTCGTAAATTTAATTTTAAACATAACATGAGAAGGTGTTAAAACCGGTGGAATAGCTTCTGAGAATTTGGAGGAAGGGATGAACAGGGAGATATTCAGTACCCTTCGCCAGCCCCACCGCGCGGCCCAACGTCGGCGTGGGGTTGGGATCAGTCTATAACACCAGCCTGGCGGATCTTTCTCTCTGCACCAAATCCCTGCAAGGAAAACAAAGCCAACTTTTTAGCTCCAGCATCGTGGAACAGTGAAATCATTTTGACTGGAAAACATCATTAGGATCATCAAGTCCAACCAGGATCGTGGCACCACCCCCGGGGCTTTGAGGCCAAGCTGATCCTTCCCACCCAAGTACAGCATTAGCACGTTCCTAATTAGTCATATTTGTCTTCAGAAATAGGTTCTGGGGGCTGTTCTTTCCAGTCCTAGATACTGCACAGATTCCAGACAATTTGCTCTTCAGATTCCAGACCCTTCACTCCTGTTTATCACATGGTGGCAAACCTTCAGTGAAAGCCAAGTTTGGGTAAAGGGATTTCACTTACTGGCTCTGAGAAAGGAGCAGGCTTATAACCGAGACAACCATTATGGGCTAGAAAACAAGCAGCAGTTGGTTGCTTCTCTGAAACCCCAGCACACCCCACTGACACAGGGCACAGCATCCTGTGTGCTAATAAAACCCAAGCTCACCCAGCAGGTGAGCAGTTCAGCACCAGATGGGAGCAGACACCGGGTATCCGACAGTTCACGCTCTGACAGAGGAAGCACTGCTGTGTCCCCAAAGCAAGGCCCACCCTGCAGTTACCCTGGCAGGCTGTACCTTTGAGTTATCGGGCCCCCGGGGCTGGCGGAGCACTGTGAGACGCGGGGCGTTGGCATCATCCAGGTTGATGCTCTTTAAACGGTTCACGAGTCTATCGGGACGCGGAGCAGCAACGGCCTTGGCGCCTTCGCTGTAACAGAGGCACACACAGGGCACTGGTGACTCCCCACAGCTGCTGCCAGTGACCTCGTTCATTTACAGCCCTTTACTACAGTACTTTACAGCAGTGTAGATTGTCCCCAGGAAGCACTAGTGCAATCTACCCCGTGTGACAGCACACCTGGCTGACACTGGGACTCTGCCCCACAGCTTTACCTTCCACACAGGACTCTGAAATAGCAGCAGCTCAGTGTTCTCTAAAAGCTGTTCTTTAGTGACTTGAGCTGTTGCATTTACTCTCACACTTACATGAATAGCATTTCCTACATTTCTGTTTCCCAGAGAAGCTGCAGCTGCCCCATCCCTGGAAGTGTCCAAGGCCAGGTTGGACTGGTCTTGGAGTACCCTGTTCCAGTGGAAGGTGTCCCTGCCCGTGGCCGGGGGTGGAATGAGATGGCTTTTAAGGTCTCTTCCAACCCAAACAATTCTGGAATTCTGTAATTGAACTGCAATAAATAAAAGCTTATGAGCTGCCAGTGTATCATGGCAGGGCATTAATATCTCTGAAGATGATGGGAACAGAGGATTCTGAGAAAAATTACACATTAGCTTTGTGTCACTGCACAAGCTTAAGCAAAATCCAAACAGTGCAGTTTTCTACAATTGTCTAAGTAGCTCAAAAGCAAAAAAATACCCATAAGCCTTAAGAAATGCCGTACCAAAAAGAAGAGCCCCTAACAACATGGGTTTTCTACTTCAAAAAACCAAAAGTTGCTCTTCAGAAAACAGGTGGCAGCACTATGGAACGTGTTGGCCAGAGGCCAGCATCCACACAGCAACACTATCAGTTTTCTTCTACTTCCAAGGCTGCACTCAAATTCCTGCTACAGGGGGAGTTTAAGAATAGATTAAGAAGGGAACAAGCTCTCTATAATTAGGAAGAGCTGGGAGTCCTCTTGCTGCCCTGCACTGCATCCCTCTCTAAGTGCTGGCAGCTCTCAGGTGAGGGCTTCTCTCCCTGAAGGCAGCTGGAATCCAGAGCTCCTGTTCCAGGAGCAGCCAGCTCAGGCTGGAGCAGCCTGCAAGGGCACTGCTGTGATGCAGACACTGTGCCAGGTTCAATCCCTTTCATTCCAGAGCCTCACCAGACA